CTCTGTCTCAAATAAACAGGTGACAATGACAATAAAAGCAAGGTAGGCTGCCTGAGAAAGAATGACACTTGAGGTTGCCCTCTGGCTTCTACGGGGACACACACACACACACACACACACACACAATAATGCACATGTACACACAAACAATTGCCATCTTGCTTTTTGAGCATGGTGGAGCTGATAAAGAATGCTCCGGTGACCTCAAAATTTCTTGCAGTGATGAAGAGACCAATGCATGCAGAAGCACTGCTTGGACCTGAGGGACGCTGCTATCACCATCATTACTAGTCAAAGACCGGGTGGGGGGCAGCAGAGAGCCTGGGCACACCGGCCTCCAAGTTTCCTTTGCGGAGTGGCGATGTTTTAAACAGGCGAAAGCAGCGGTTGCATGTCTTTGTGAGCAGGGGTAGGGGCTGCGGGAAGTCTCCTGCTTTCGCCCTCTCCTTGTCTCGTTACTACCTTTGCGGGTCTACACTCTGCATTCCCGGCAGCTCACTGTAGGCAGGGCAGGGCCTGGTTGCTACTGTAGGTCGCAAAGGCCCTGCAGGCTGCTTAGTTCTCTGACCTGAGAGGAAGTCCCCACCTTCCCCGAAGCAGGTCTTCCTATAAACTTCTGCTGGAGTGGCCATTTAAGTGGGGGTGGGGGACATCATTTAGCTCATGTAGTCCTTCCCCCTCTCAACATGTTCCACTTAAGTCAAGTTAAAACCTGTAACTTCACCATGACAGTGCCTGTGACACATGAGGCCACGATCACGCGTTTTGCCTCCGACTGGAACTTAGTGTGACAGAAATGGAATTACTGGCTGTGTTAGATGATGGGGCCACGAAGGTTTGTTTCCCTTTCTGCACTAAGGCTGTTACATAGTCTTTACATTCTTTTTTGATATTTTATTTATTTATTTATTTGCTTGAATGTATGTCTGTGCAGTGTGTGACTACAGTGCCTGTGGAGGCCAGAAGAGGGCGCTGCCCCCCAGGCACTACAGTCACAGTGGTTAGTTGCCATGTGGATGGGGGAAACCACACCTGGGTCCTCTGGACCGGCAACCAGCGCTCTTAACGGCTGAGCATCCCTAGACAGTCTTTAAAAATAAAGGAAGAGTAACTGGGGTCTTAACATCTCAGAGACATGCCGCACAGGCTAAGTCATTTCGGTGAGAGAGTGACATTCTCAGCGTCTAAACTATTTCAGGGTAGCCCACTTCATCACAAGCTTCTGTTTGTTTCTGAGAGTGTCCTCAGAGGCAAAGGATGTGCCTCATCTAAAAACTTCAGATCAAGTGATGGTTCTTCTAATTAGAACCCCTTCAATATTGAAATATGGAAGTTGAAATACTGAAGTAGCGTAAGTTGAAAGGCTGGCCTTCAGCCTGTGTTGATATTGGGAGGCGGTGGAAGGAAGGGAGAACGTTGAGGACATGTCTTTGGAGGGGATGAGAAGACCCCGGGCCTTCCTCTTCCTCTTCCTCTGCTCCCTGGCCACCATGAGGTGAGCAACTTCCTTGATCAAACTCACCCACCCAGATGCGGGGCTCCCACAGGCCCCAAAGCCACAGCTCAGTCATGGACCCAAACCTTCAAATCTGTGAGCCAGAAGAGGGTTTTTACTTTTAAAAATGTTTTGTGCCAGGCATTTACTACAGTTACAGGATGCTGGCTAGCACAGAAGTCTACAATCTTTTCAGTCAGTGAAGAATCCTGTGGTTGCTGGACACCCAGCTTTTCCCACAGAGTACCAACACAGGTTGCTGATGGGGACGTCCTTCTGTGCATATGTTTCTCTTATTGGTTGGTGAATAAAACACTGTTTGGCCAATAGAGGCAGGAAGATAGGCAGGACTAGGAGACGAGGAGAATTCTGGGAAAGGCAGGCAGAGGGAGACCCCTGAAGGATGCCATGTAGTTGAGGAAGGAGTAACAAGTCCGAACCCTTCTCCGGTAAGACCACGTGGGAATACTTAGATTAATAGAAATGGGTTAATAATTAAGACAGAGTTAGCCAATAAGAAGCCCTAGATACTGGCCAACGGTTTATACTTAATACAGCGTCTCCATGTGCTCATTTGGGGTTGAAGCGGCAGGGCCCGGCGGGACAAGAAACTCCAGCAACAGGTTGCTTTGCCAGGCATCAGGAGACAACATCCTCCGCGTATGACTTTCTAAGCTCCAGATGCCAAGGTAGCATTAGTGACAGGAACCGCCAACAATGTGTGGCTCCTCAAAGACAGAAGGCGCCATCAAGGCTTATGAGGTGAAGCTCGCCATGCCTGGTGTGGCAGCTAGCCACTCTGCACTGTTTGCTCAGGGCTATAACAGAGGGGTTCCTGCCCAGAACTTTTTTCTTCAGATGGCTTTGAAGCCGCCAGATCCGCTAGCCTGATTTCTTCAGAGAAGCCCCTGACTCTGTTTGACAAAGAAGTCGATGAAATCGGGTGAGGTAATGGTAGCAGCTGCTGGGCGCTCAACACACAGCGGGAAGGAGAAGGGAGACTGCTGGGTAGGATACGACTCAGACCGTGAGCCCCGGGACTGGGGTTGTGTAGTATTACCCAACATCACGGAGCGAGAGGTGGTGGATCCTCACATTGTCATGTCCATCCATAAAAAATTGGGGATCGCCAAGTGTGCTCCTCCCACCCCCCAAGAGAATCACCTGTGGCCTCCATTATTGTTCATTCCATTATTACACCAAATTGGTTAATTAATTCGCATCTCCTGTGCCTCTCTACAGAAAACACACCAAATAAAATATTCATGCCATAATCATGTCCAGTGGGCACTGGTAATTAATTTTAATAAGACAATGCTCCAAACCAGGTCAACACTTTTTGGTGGCACCAAAGGGGCAAGTTAGGAAAGCAGGCTTATCAGTATGCATCACAAATGGTGAGAGCCTTATCCCAGACCACCAAGTTTTCTCCAACATCCCACGATGCACTGGGCGTGACTCATTTCGGAAGCTGTTCATAGCTCTGTTCTTACCGCTTGTAAGTTAGTGAAGTCCCACAAGCTTGTGAAAACAGCCACCTAAGTGACGATGCTTTTATTCTTTTCCCTTTGAAAGTGACCCGTTCAGGTGTGGTCCTGAGGATATCATTTCACCATACCGGAATTTAGTGGACGTGTCCATCACTACGACGTTTGGTGGTCAGAGCTCCAATCAACTCCCTGAGTCTTTACAATCAAGAAAGGAGAATCCAAACTTTTAAATCTACCCCCATTGGGGAAATCTACTTCTTTGAGAAACTGGCCTCAGCTGCCCAACTTTGCAGTGCGCATTTGCATGAAAATCAATGCAAGTCTGTATGTGTCTACACAGGCATTTCTCTGGAGCTCATCTCTCTACAAAGGCTGGAAACTGTTACCTTCCATCCAGAGGCTCCTTCTAGAATTTTCCTTAGTTTTGATTAGTTATTTATTGAGACAGGTTAGCCAGGATGGTATCTACTAGTCCAAATGAAGCTATGTCAAAAATTCCCAAAAAGATGGTTTTCTCTGTGACCCTGCACCAGAGGATGCCTGCTATTTGGAGGATTTGGAGTCGCAGCAGCTGCCGCCGCATCCAGGTCTTTGGGGAATGCTGTATAATGATCCTCATGTCCATCTTCCGAGTGGAATATTATTATCCCATTAGTACAACCTAATTTGGATTCTTTTCCCCAGATACACTGCCTTGTATTTTTCCACACTGTTTCAGCTGCTGTCTGTCTACCTCTTGGCTGCCATCCTGTCAGATCTTCAGGGATTTACATAATGTGGACTTGGCTTTATGTTGTGATATTGTCCTCTGCAAACGTGTGGTGCTCCTGAACAACGTTTAAACAAGGAACTGTCCATATGATAGTGACAGCCACACATCACCCCAAAACATGCTCCCGTGTCCACAGTAAGGCTTCGACTGGGTACAGTCTACTTGGCAGAGACCACAGTGCTCAAACCCTGTGTGTCTAGATGGGGCTAGGGATGTAGCCAGACGTAAAAGGATAGTGAAAAATGGTGTGAGTGTGTAAATGTGTATGTTAAGTATATGTACAGGCATGAGTATGAGTGAATGCATGGCATGTGTGTGTGTGCGTGTGTAAATGTGTATGTTAAATATATGTACAGGCATGAGTATGAGTGAATGCATGGCATGTGTGTGTGTGCGTGTGTAAAGGTGCATGTTAAATATATGTACAGGCATGAGTATGAGTGAATGCATGGCATGTGTGTGGGTGCGCGTGTAAATATATGTTCATGCATGTGCCTATGGATGTGTGTGCATACATGTGCACATGTGTTCTCCATTATCTTCCCCCATTTGACACCAGGACAGAACAAACCCTTTGAACGCACCAGAGTCAGAAGTGCGGAGCAAACCAGGCTGAACCGGCCTGACACCCTGTGAGGTAAAGCCGCCTGCTCCCCAGGACACCACATCCACTGCTAGCACGTGAGAAATAAGCATGCCGCACCCTACCAGACTGTGGGGCAGCAGACTGCATGCAGGAGGCCACCACTGGATGTATTTTTGCTTCAGAGAGTTCCCACTCCCTCCATCCTTAGTTCAACCATGTCCATGGCCTTTTCTCCTCCTGAAGAACAAAGCCCTCTTTCCGTCATTTCAGAAAGGATTTTGTCAAAGATGATATTTTATGCCACGAGTGTAAGGTATTTACCTAAATAGCAGGGTCTAGTAAAAGCTTACACACCTGAAAAGTATTTTGATTTAACATAAACAAGTTGTTTGGTGGTCTCCACGTGTTAGTATTTATTATGTGGCTGAGGCTCATCTGGACTTAGCGGTAAACAGCACAGGTCCTGCTAATCAACGAGAACCCTGTACTGAAAGTTGCAAGAGTCTCTGCAGGAACAACATAGACAAGCAGCACCAGATCCCCCGACTGCTCTCGGAGTGTTTAGAAACGACACAGCATCGCTGAGTTCCACAACAGAGGCGCTTCACTGTGCAGTGTGGTGCTGACGGATGTGTGGGCTCTGGGTAGAGACTCCAGGTTCCTGAGAGCAGTCGGGATTCTCCGAGACCAACAAGGATCCTTGACATTCCCTCTCCAACAAGCCACCTCTGCTTTCCTCCTAGCCTTTTGACACAGGGTAAGAGTTTCCATTCCTAGCTCTGACCAGCATCTACACAGAGCACACTGCTCTATCAGAAGGGGACACGGTGGGAGGAGTCCGGGCGAGACCCCACTATAGCTGTGACCGCTGTGGGAAGAGTTTGGTGTTTAGGAAGAGCAGTCCATGTCTCCTTTAAAGCTAACCTCCTGGGGAATTCACTGTAGGAATTCTGCATCTCAGCAAAAGCAGACAGTCCATCAAAAGGCTTGGAGAATGTTCCAGATGGGCAAAAACAAAACAAAACAAAAAATTCTTCAAATACTCCTCCAGGAACTGGAAGCTGGTGGGCAGGGCTTCCTACTTCCTGGGGTGTGTCCTTCTTGCACAAGAGGTGACATTCCCCTCACATCTAGAGAGGTTCCAGGATGATGGTCCACACTAGTAGTCATGTGGTAAGTTAAAACACCCTCCCCCAGGACAGATCTTAGGCTCACAGAATAGAAAAGATGGGGCTCCAGTTATGTTCTCCTGAGGAGTTTGTTCTCAGGAGAATGTGGAATCTGGAGACTTGATAGATGGTTTTAACTATTCAATACAAGTGAATTTTGTTACAGATAAGAATCTTGCTGTACATGGCCACTCCTCCTGTTTCCCATGAGTATCAGCTCCGTAGGAAAGTGACAACGTCATGGCAGTGAGACTCTAGTTCACCATAACAAGCCTTTTCTGGGGAAACTACCTTGAGAGCAGCAGCATCCAGGAGAGGAAGAGACCTAATGGTACAACCACAGGAAAGCCAACAGGACAGGACACGCTTACCAACCAGCGACAACACTTGCTGATTTCAAAGACCCTCTACATCAGGGCTCCTTTTCTGCCCTGAGAATTTAGAGACACTCCCAAAGGCGCTCTCATTACCTTTGCTATGAATACAGGAAATGGCGGTGGTGGCTGGCAGCGGGGGTGTGGTTCTCTTTTGGTAACTTCTGGCTAAGATGGTTAGGGCGGAAGCTCTTAGGAGTTCAACGGCTACTTCTACAGATGGGACAGTGACCAGGGAAGGAAAGGAGAGGTCACCACATTAGTTCTTGGCTTCAAAAGCACTGTTCTGTTTGTGTTTCCGTTAACAAGCACCTCCCACATAAGGCCATACCACCCTGAACGCGCCCGATCTTGTCTGACCTCGGAAGCTAAGCAGGGTCGGGCCTGGTTAGTACTTGGATGGGAGACAAGCACCTCCCAGGCTCCTCTCGGGGCAGCAGGAAAAGAGACCTGGGGTCCAGCAGGAAGCTGGACAGAACCGGGCACTGATGTCAGGGGACAAAGCAGTCACTTGTTTAGAAAATTGCTTTGTTTCTAAAAAGAAATCTGACACTTTGGGGATGGGGTTGGGGCAGGGTAGGCAGAGGCTTCTCTGGGGTGAAGTCAGATAACTGCCATCTTCTTTTGAGAAGTCTCTTAGTCTTCCTCAGTCCACAGGTGAGCACCACAGGCCCTCCATTCTTTGATAAAGTTGAGTAAATGACACAGAGGCAGTTTTTCTTGACAGGATGTGGCCGGCATTTCTATGGTAAAGTTAGAACAGGCTCCGAAGAAAGGAAGAGTGGACTAGGACATGGAGGTGACTATTGAGGACAGACAGGGAACGCTTTAGAAGCCGTGAAAGCTACACAGAGAAATCTGTTTCAGGAACAAAAAAAAAAAAAAAAAAAAAAAAAAAAGGTGAACAATGAGATGTGGCAATGCATGCTAGGAAATTCTCTAAGACCAGGATGGGTGAACTGAGGATGCTCACCACCAACAGCCCCTGCGTTAGTAACGTCTCTCCTATGACCAAATGCACAATAATTAGATATGAATTCAAAGGGAGAAAGGAAGGTTTATTTTGGTTCATCGTTTCAGAAGGGATGAAGGCTGTTACATCATGGGAAAGGCCTGGCAGTAGAAGCATAAGGAGGTTGGTCACGCAGTGTCTGAAGGCAGGAAGCAGGGAGCAGAAAGGAAGTGGGCCTGAGTTACACACCTGCTTCCTTCAGAAAGGCGCCATCTCCTGAAGGTTCCACAAGCCCCCAAACAGTGACCAACGGTTCCATGCGCCCAGGGGGCCATTTCACATTCTAACTGAATCACTTTCCCGAGGGTCCACACCTTATCCTTCGTCTCTACAGTACATGCAACTTTTAACTTTCTCCTCTGGGTTCCTCCACCATAGTCACAGCTATAATTTATAACAGCATGCTGCATGCCGAAGAAATACAGGGGTTCTCCTTTGGAAAGACTATTTGGGGTTGTGACAGGGCAGCCCTGTATAGACTGACCACAAAGGGACAAAGTTCCTTCAAAGAGCTAGTCAGGATTGAGCCTTGTGCTATGGACAGAGGCCTCGAACACAAAGATCTTTTACAAAACATCCTGCTTTTTGTATTGTTTTAAAAGTGGTCTCACATGGCCTGGGCTATCCTTGAACTCTGCATTTGAAATGACTATATGTACAAGGCAAACATGAAGTAATGAAGTTCTTCTTCCCCTGGGAGGGGAGGCAGTGTACGGGCCTTATTTGACATGCTCCAGCATGCTCCCCAGAGCCTGGGAAGACCTGCTAGGGCCTACATCATCATTCTCCATATAGATAGATGGAGCTATAGGGTAGAAAGTACTGGACAGAACGTCTCACTAGTTCATCTACACGTCACCTCTGAGTTCGGTTGTTGGAAGTAACAGTCTGGCTGGGAAAACAGGTGAAACCCATTTCTGAAGACCCTTCCCAGCCTAGGCAGGAGTTTCTTATTCGAGGGAGCCACAGAGACTTGTAGCATCAGTGGTTGGTGCTCTGAAGATGCCGATTCCACAGGCTTACAAGACCAGAGGGAAAAGTGATCCTCAGTAACCAGAACCGGCTCAGCCAGGGTTCATACATGCACAGAGTCTGGGGAATTATCTGATTCTTACACACACAGAGTCTGGAGAATTATTAGGCCTCTTTTGTTCAAATGGGGTTTTTTAGACAGCATTTGTACTCTGTAGCCCAAGCTAGCCTTGAACTTTTGGCAATCCACCTGCCTCAGCCTTTCCTTTCAAAGCTGGGGTCATAGACACGAGCCACCATTCTCAGTTATAGATTTCTGCTTGTTGTTGTTATTGCAGTCCTCTGGAGCAGTTTTTGCTCACCGATGTCACATTCTTAAGAAGTTATCGTAACATCATTGTCCTCCATTAATTTTTACATGTCTCCTAGCAAAACCTAAAGGGATGAACTGTCCAAAAACGGAAGGGCTTAGGAAATTTTACATCACTGATGCTATTGGGACTGAGGCTGGAAAACTGCTTATGAGCAATACTGGGGAGAGAACTCAAGTATCATTGGATGGCCCCAACTCTGAAACAATGTATTTCATTTCCTCTATCTCCAGGAACCTACGATAACATTGTAACTAAATCAGCTTCACTATATCAGGAACAACATATTTTAAAAATCTCCACAAATGGCTGCGCACTTTTAATCCCGGCACTCAGGAGGCAGAGGCAGACAGATCTCTGTATGTTCGAGACCAGTCCATCTACAAGAGCTAGTTCCAGGTCAGCCTCCAAAGCCAAAATAAATAAATATATAAATACAAATAATAAAAACACTCCATACACATTCAGAATTCTTATTGGTAGTTTTTAAAAGTAGCAAGAATACTAGCCTGTAAGATAGGAAGGCCACAAGTTGAAGACAGAACAATCAATGGACTTGGAGGGTTCTTAAGCTTAAATTCTAGCTTTGAAACCTCTTAGTTAACCACGAACACAAGCAGATAAAAGGCCAGAGAGAGCCAGGGGTGGTGGCATGAGCCTGTAAATGCTAGCAGTCAGGAAGAGGTAGAAGCAGGGGGATGATATGTTTGAGGCTAGCCTGGGATACATAGTGAAATTTCATCTCCAACGATGACAACCACTACCCAAACAAAGCAGACCAAAGAAAGACTTCAACTATCCACACCCAAAGACTCAGGACCCTTAGGAAGGAAGACCGGTCTGGCTCAAACAAAATGAAAGGGAGACCCTGCAAGTCCCCCCAGGAAGTCAGCCGACACTTCAGACTCACAGGGTGAATAAATTTGTCATCTATGGACATAGATGGAGATGGTCATGGGACTGCTGGCTCACCCACACGTGCTACACGTTGTTTGGACTGTGCACACATGGCTTGACAGCTTTGGGCCTCAGAGCTGACCTTGGTGTTAAGATAACCGAGGAAAGAAATACTCAACGTGATAAGAAATCACGCACAGCAGGACCCTCGTGACATCACATTTATGGACTGTTGTCAATCGGGCAGGACATTACTGAAACCATTTTCAAGACTGAGAACCCAAGCAAATGGTTAAGCTCTGACACAAGACACGCCTGGTCCTCCTCGCAGCAGGCCAGGCGACCTTCACTCTCCTGAAAAATGATGCACAGGCTTAGAGAAGTGCCAGCGTCACCTTCGGGGGTGAGCTTTGTTTCACTGCTCTCAAGTTCCTGAACCAGGAAGAGCTGGAGTCCTCCCTGTTTGTGTAAGTCCTCCCCAGAGTGGCACACTGGGCAAGCATTTATTTAATTGGACTACAGTTTATCATAATCTCCGGCTCATGTACAGGGACGAGGGCAAAGATCAAGTCTGTTTTGTTCACTGATTTTTCTCCAGTGCTGGTTCATAGAAGGTGTTCATCCCTGCAGAGTGGAGGGAGGACGCTGTGTCCTCCCCTGTCACATGGCTCCTGCTACTCTTAACGAATTAAAGGTCCTCAAGAAACCATTGCATTTTTTCACCAATGTATTCTATCATCTGACAAATATTTACGCTATCACCCCAGTGTGGCAGGTTCCGGCCAAGTCTTGAGGTGACCACTGTCATCAGCTAGATGAGACTCCCAGTCTCAGGGTGAGCATTGTCAGAGGCCAGAGGGACAGTTGACAACTGAAGGGCTAGAGAGTCCCAGGCTGAGGGAGCAGTTGGCACAGAGTGGACTCACTTCTGGAGTCACAGGAAAGTCAGCAGAGACTAGGAGCCAGAGGAAGCAAGCGGGACAGAGGGCATTGCAACCTAAGTGTGCAGGCACTCATTTCTGCTCTGGAAGGCAGCCGTCTTAAGGGTGGTTGACCACTGAACATCCTCAAGGTCCAAGCAAGTGATAATGACTGCCTGGACTCTGAATGAATGAATAAATGAATGAATGAATGAATGAACAACAATAGAAATATTTGGGGTTCAATCCTGAGGCCCCCTCTTAAGAGTGATTGTATTTAGAGGATCCCATATTTTAGTTTCGGAGAGTGGGAAGAATAATTTTGTGAATTATGAGAATTTAAATTCTGTGTTGCTCCATTAAGGATCAAGACGAGTCATGTCTTAGTAAGAGAGTCAGCAGCAGAAAAAACAACAAAAAACACAAACAAAAAAAAAATAAAATGAAACAAAACAGAAAGCCCTGGGAAATGAAGCTGTTAGGGGAGGATCATGTTTGGGAACTAATTGAAGATTTACGACAGTAATTTTTAAATCATAGACATGAATTAGTCTGAACTATGATGACTGAATTCACAACACACAGCATTTGTAGGATGATGTGAACGGTTACATGATATTATATTGAGCCTCCACGTTACAAAATTGTTGGAAATTAAGCTGTTTGTAACTTCCTTTGGAGGCAAGAGAAAAATGTGTGTAAATGTTAACCAGACCCCCGACCTGTCTTTGGGTGCAGTTTGATAGCCATATCTGGGATAGGAGCCAAACTCTCTTTTGGGGGAGAGCTAGTAGTCCCCAGAGGCACAGTGATGAATTACACTGGGCTGAGAACAAGAGAGGAAGTCACTAGAGCTAGAACAAAGGGCTAGTGCTGCGGTGGGCGCCAGGCTCCTTGTGGCTGCATGTGCTGTGTGATTCTGTTTTTTATACCTTTCCTTTCTCAGCCCGCAGAATTCTTAATCCTGTTTTCACTGCCCTAGGTAAGCCGGGAAATATTTCCTTCTTGACTGCGGTTACTCACACAATAAACAGGTAATAAACATTTTACTGCCCTGAGCAACCTCCTGCTGGGCAGGCGGGCCTGAGACCGGGGCTGCAGAGGGTGACCCCCTACAGGACAAACGGCAGGCGACAAAGCAGGCTAGTAACCCTTTAACAGTGCTCACCTCCGTTGTTACTCGAGCTGCTGGCACGCCTTAGCCGGCCCCAGCTCAGGAGTCCTCACTGCTCGAGGCTAGTAAGGGAGATTTGATTTCACCAAAAGGTAATTTAGTTGCCATTTCCAAGCCCCGTCTGGCTAAATTAAGGATGAGGATGAAACTGAGTTTACAGTCTCCCAGTTTAAACCATGAGCAGGGAGCCCCGAAGGCGGGAAAAACAGGGCATGCAGGGTGTTCAGGCACCAGAGAAGGGGTTCTGGGCCCAGCGGTTCTTTTCCCAGCTTGCACCTTGTTTTTGAATACATCTTTATTTCCTTATGCTTGTTTATTGGGTAATCCTTACTGTCTTTGACGTGTGCGAAACACAGTGGACATCCTATTTCTCCTCCCTCCCTCCCTCGCTCCCTCCCTCCCTCCCTCCCCTTGCTTTACTGGACATCAAACCCAGGGAATTGTACACGTCAGGCATGTGCTGTACCACTGAGTTACATCTCAGACCAACACCCTAATTTTTGTAAACATTTTATTTCACGTTTATTTATTTGGGGGATACTGTAGAGGTCAGAGGACAACTTGCAGGAGCCAGTTTTCTCCTCCACCTTGAGGTTTTTGAGGATGAAACTCAGGTCATCAAGCTTGGTGGCAATGTGCCTTTACGAGCTGAGCCATCGAGGCTGCACCTAACATCCTGTTTTCCAACCATACTCAAGGTTCCCTCAAAAGCTCGTTACCAAGCTGGGCAGATGGCTCAGTGGATAAGGTTCTTGTCATGCAAGCTGGAGTTCAAAACCCCAGAACCCATAAAAAGACAGATGTGTTAGCAGGCGTCTGTACTCTTAGCTCACTTATGGTGGAATGGAAAGCAGAGATAGGAACGTACCTCCAGCCTGCCATCTGCAGGGTGCTCAACAGGACAGCCAGCTCAAAGCAAGCTGGACGGCAAGGAAGGACTGACGCCTGAGGTTGCTCTCCAGTCTTCACATGTGTGTGCTAGCATGTATATCTGCATTCTCATACAGGAACACACATGCTATTGCACGTGTGTGCTCGTGCGCGCGCGCGCACACACACACACACACACACACACACACACACACACACACACACACACACCTCCCTAAGATCCTGTTCCCTTCAGCTCACTTAAAGCTTTTTGTGATTTCCGACTGCTTGGAAAATATTTCTTTCACACAGAAGGTATAAGCCATGGCGGTGAGGTAACCCTGAACCTTCCCCCATTGTAGGGTAGAAAGCACAGCCAAATAGAACTGGATAAGCTCCACCCTCACCACCGCCATTCAACTTATTTATGGGAAATTAAAACCTTACTTACATAAATATTTCCCACCAAATAGCATGCCAAGTCTGAATACATTAGCCCAGGGCAAATGATAAATGCATTGGCATAGATAATTTTCCAATTCATGTAGGGTGAAAAAATGATTATTTTATAAATCAACACTTCTATGATGCCAGCTGCAGTTAATTTATGGTATCTGGTTCTAATCTTATTTCAGAATATTAATTTCTACCGTATTTTGTTGCAGAGCAGTTAGGACTGGCTAGCAGGTACCGTGACTCACTGCCGTTTCTCTTTTCTTGAGACCTGACTGGGCATTTGTGAAGTAGCTACTGTCTGATACTCCCACATACCATTTCTGCTTTTGATTTTTCTTTTAACCTTTTTCTGGAGGGGTTAAGGGAGTGACTGTAGAATGAGGTATCCTCTGGAGAAGCATCTGAAGAGCACGGCTGAGGATGACAGAGCCACAGCCTGTGGCCGGGCTCCAGGGACATTTTGGACATCTTGACAGAGGGGTCCCAGGAGCCTGGGGTTTTCCCTCCACTGTCTCTGTAGGAGGCTTCCTACAGAGGTAACACTCAGAGCCTACACTTGCAAAGTGAGAGACTTCAACCTCCCAACAAAGGGTGCAGAGTGGTAGCACGGATTCACCAGCAGCAAGGGAAAGAGGTCACATGCAGCCAGGCAGGGTCTGCGTGAGAAGGGGGTGCATCCACAGACGGCTTGAAAAGACCCAAAGCCAGGATGCAAACCCTTTGTTCTGCTGGCATTAGACTTTTACCAGACATCTGTCCTGGTTAGCTTTATCTGTCGACTTGACACGGCCTAGAATCATCCGAGAGGAAAGTGACAACCTAGGAACTGCCTCGTGTGATGAGAGCATGTATGTGTGATGAGAGCATGTATGTGTGATGAGAGCATGTATGTGTGATGAGAGCATGTATGTGTGATGAGAGCATGTATGTGTGATGAGAGCATGTATGTGTGATGAGAGCATGTATGTGTGATGAGAGCATGTATGTGTGATGAGAGCATGTATGTGTGATGAGAGCATGTATGTGTGATGAGAGCATGTATGTGTGATGAGAGCATGTATGTGTGCAACTGTCCTGGCTGCTCACTGATACATCAAGGCTCGGCACCATCACTGAGTACGTGGTCCAGGACATCCTCTACGGCCACTGCAGTACTTCTTGGTTGTGAAGTGAGTTCCTCGGTGGGTATGATGCTGTGTACAATAGCAAGCAGGCCTGCCTTCACGTACCCGCCTGCAAGTCCCTGCCTTGAGTGGCTCCTCTCATTGGTGGGCTGTGATCTGGGACTGTAGCCTGGAATAACCCTTCTTTCCCCGGGTGGCTTTGCCAGGGTGTTTGCCATGGCAACAGAAGTGAAATGTGAACAGTAAGTCTCTGACTGTGGCTCCGGAGTTACCAATCTCACATAGGAGTGGGCATGGTGTCACACACCTTTAATCCCAGAACTTGGGAGGTAGAGGCGAAAAGATCTCTGCCTGTCCAAGGCCAGCCTGGTCTACAAAGTGTTTCAGGACAGCCAAAGCTATACAGAAGACCAGGTATTAAAAAAATAATATTAATAATAATAGTGATGATGATGATGGCCAATGGCAGTGGCTACAGAGATAAAAGGGTTCTTGAAATAAGATAAAGATGGGAAGGTTAAGGATGCTGGGGTGGTGTTTGAATGCAGGAAGGGCTTTAGAGAGGCACCCCTCAACTCTATGGTATACTGGGCAGGTGGTTCTGACGACGAGCAACAGCTTTAAGTAAAAGCCAACAGCTTTCAGTCAGATTGAAACAAGATCTGTGGAATGGCAGGGCTAGAACCATAGGTGGACGGTTGGGAACATTAAACTTTTGGCTCCTGTTTGGTCACTCCTGAAGGACAAGACCAACACTGCCTTGTTCACCAGGTAAAAGATCCTCAGCACTGTTCCGACTCCCTTCCCCTTCCCTAAGCACGCCACCCAGGTCTTCAGAAGTCTTTGTAAGAAGGAGATGTAGATGACTGTGCTCAGTATTCACCACCACCCTGACAGCCCAAGGCATCGTTCTCATTTGCTGGGATTCAACCGAGAGGATCCTGTGCCCTCTTCATGCTGAGGATAGCGGCTCCACATTACCCAGGGTCTACCAATCACACGGAGAGCAAACCCTACCCTCTACCGGCCTTTTGGGCCAGGTGTCTTCAGGCTTCCTAGTGGACTCCTCCGTGGGGTTCTCATCCCACCTTACCTCCCTCCCAGCCACTCCCTTGGGCTACAGCTTTGTTCTGTCTTAGTGGCTGTGACTTCCTCAGCTTGGGCCCTCTTCACTTGGCTGGGTCCTCTCAGCAGCCGAGTCTCAGCTCGGGTGTCACCTCTCAGGCGCTCAGAGCGGGAACCTCATCTAAGATGCTGATGATGGCGCAGAATGATCCAACCCCAAACAGGCACCTTACGAACTGGGGTAACACAATAGACATCAGTCCAGTGAAGGAAGAAACGGGCTCCCAGGCAGACTGTCTCTGGCTAGATCGAGAGAGTGACAGGTGAGAGGATAAAGAAACTCCTGCGGGGGCGGGGGCGGCCGTGGGGCAATAACTCGGTAGGTGAAGTGCTTGCCATGCAAACATAAGGATCCCAGTTCAGTTCCCAGCGCCCATATAAAAAGCTGGGTGCAGTAGCGTATGCTTGTAACCCTAGCACTGGGGAGGCAAGCACAGGCGGATTCCCAGAGATTGCCAGGCAGCCAGTCTAGTGGGATGGGCGACCTCCAGACCCCAGTGAGAAACCCTGTCAAATGATAAAGTGATGGCTCCTGAAGATTGGTACCTGAGGTTGATCTCTGACTTCTGACCCTACACAGTGCACCTGCACTCTCTCTCTCTCTCTCTCTCTCTCTCTCTCTCTCTCTCTCTCTCTCTCTCTCTCTCTCTCTCTCTCTCTCTCTCTCTCTGCCTGGTTCTGGATGATGTTTGCGGTAGAGAAACAGATTTGCAGGCCTATCCACCTTTGAAGTGAGTTTCTCATTACCTCCATCATCGTCTCAGAAAGAAGTTGGACCAAGGCTCAGGGAACATGCAGAAAATGGAGCAGTAAGAGCCAGAAGATCAGGGAGTTTGCTGTGAGAGACTGTCTCCTAGTCTCCTACCAGAAGCCCAACCCATAAGGGCCCACCGACAGGACTACCCAATCGTGTGCTGAGGACGGATGACAGCCACAATCTTGCCAAACTCCATGGGGAGAAACTTGTGAGCCTCAGCCTCCACAAAGACCTGTATGGACAACCTAGGAACGCATAGAATAGTAGAGGCGGCCTTTCCAAGGGAAGAGCAAACCAACCACAGCGCCGCAGGCTCAGCCCTGGAAACATACGTACAGGCAGCGTTATACAGATCGAATGTGTTCTATTTAGAAAAATAATGTATGTCCATATATTCATACAGTTCATGAAAAAGAGGCCATGGATTTGAAAGAGAGAGGGGAGGGGACTATGGGAGGGTTTGGAAGGAGGAAAGGGAAGGGAGAAATGTTGTATTTAAATAATAACCACCCCCACTTTATCCCCCAAAAGAAAGAAACTTGTGGGTTGCCAACAGTATAGTCTCCCAAGACACTGGCTTTGCAATCTGACACATTAGAATCCCAGCTTGGTTCCATATTACCCACACACAGGTTGCCTGGCTTCATGGACCCTGTTCTCCTCATATTAGAGAAGAAAGGATGAGGCTCGAGAGATGGCTCAGTGGTTAAGAACACTGGCTGCTCTTGCAGAGGTCCCAGGTTTGATTCCCAGCGCCCGCATGGTAGCTCATAACCATCTATAACTCCAGTTCCAGGGAATCTCACACAGACACACTTTCAGACAGAACAACAATGTACATAAAAACAAACAACAAAAAGATAAAATAACAAACTGTATGTTATTTTGTGGGCATAGATAGGTAACATGCAGAGTACCTGTTGGCCTACCAGCTGGTGGCGATCTGAGTGAGAAACCTTTCCCATTAGCTTATGCATTTGACACTTGGTCCCCTGCTGGTTGCACAGTTCGGGGACACTTTGCTGGAGGAAGTACATCACTGGGAGTGGTCCTTGAGCATCTAAAGCCTCCAAACCACGTGCCGTTTGTTCAGTCTGCTTGATGCCTGCAGTAAAAGAGTCTCAGCTTCCTCATCTTACTGCCCCGCATGCTGCTGGCTGCCGTGCTTCTCTGCCACGGTGAACTTTCATCCCTCTTTCTTCCATGGTGTTTGATCGCAGCAACAGAAGAGTCACTAATATACAGACAGCCGTCACGCAAACGAAACGAAACAACACAAACTAGCTCGTTGTGCTGTCCATCAGGATAACCGGAGCCTTCCGTTGTCCTTCACAAAGGATGCTAAGATGCTCCCTCGCTTTCCTGAAGCTGCAGCATCTCTCCCTCTCTATCTACCCGGGACATTTATAAATCCTCTGTGGTTCTAGGTTCTTAGAAAGGCGGTAAGCTGTCCTAATTTTATCTGGACAGTGCCTACTTTGATTTGGGATCAGACTATAGCATTCCCAGATATCTCTCACGAAGCAGCTAACCAAGGCCCCAGCCAGATAGCCAAGACCTTTCGAGGGAGGCTGGTGTCTTCTGTTTTACTTTTGCCCCTAATTTCTGCAAAGAGCTGAAGGGCAGTCTTGAGGGTTCTATAAACATTAATGGCTGACTGACATACAGATCTCTTGGAATGTTTTTACTAGGGCTAGGTAGTATTTGTTGATCTTTGGTTGAAAAATGCCAAAGTGTAACCACTCAGTTGCTTGATAGAAATTGAAAACAACTCTGCACACTTTGAGATTTTATTTTTAAAAATAATTTATGATTCCTGCTCCCCAAAGCTGGTTAGTGGTCACAATTTTAGCTGTTGCTTCTAAAAAAGCAATAAACTATTTTCTTTTAAATCCAGGAATACAGGTTAATATTTATTGCCTGTTGAAAGGAGTAAATCGCGGACTCTGTCTGTACCCTGGGATTTGCTGGCGTTACGTGTGACCGATGGAGATGCTGACCGCCTGGCACATGGAAGAGCTTCTTTATAAGGTGGTAACTGGAGGACAGGCAGGGGCGAGGGGGTGGGGCTTTGGTGATTTCATTCCCTGCCACAGCTGGCAAAATTGCTTATTGGAAAATAAAAGTCAAGGTAAATTGAGCTTGACAGTAACCAGACTTGACTATGTGGACCCCTTCTCCACTCGAGGCAGTTAGAGTGGGCGGAGGCGGGAAGGAGGCAGGGAAAGGAAGCCCTGTCGCCCATCCATCTTCCTTATCTCGTAGGGCACAAGCCATGTACCATTTGTGTGAGTGCTGCTCTCTGTCGGCTCCTGGACTCTGTACCTTCGCAGCTTCTGGACACTGGGTGAAGGGTAGTCATTTTACCTTTCCTGTTCCTCAAGAGGGGACAGGCAGTCAGAGCCATGCTGTGCAACACATACAGTAGCCATTTAATTTTAAAAATTTGCAGGCTGGAGAGATGTCTCAGCGTCTCGGAGGGTATCCTGCTCTGCAGAGGGCCTGCATCCAGTTCCCGGCATCCACACCGAGTGACCCCAAATGGTCTGCAGCCCAGCTCCATGGGAGCCAACACATTCGGCTTCCTCAGATACCCACCTCCACCTATACACAGAATTAAAAATTTCTTTCTAGTCTTTAAAAAAATGCAGTCACTCCAGCCACTTTCCAAGTGTCCACAGCCACATGTGGCTAAAGGCTACTGTATTGGGGACTACGTGGCCACAAATCAACCCCCATCTCCCAGAATGTTCTATCAGAAAGCTGCAATTCAGAAAACTCAATTGGCACCAAGAAGCCCTTCCTTTTCTGACCCCGAGGTCATGGTGACCTCTGTGGTAAAGATGTTAATTGGACCTACGAGAATGTGGTGATCCTCTAGTGTCTAGTGTCTTCCTAAGCAGTGGGAAACAAATATTGTGACTTGGGGTGTGGTTCAAACATCCTGATCCCATAGACAAACTCTGAACTTTACATTTCTCCATACCAACATGGAACGTGACGTGTCTTTCGCCCAGCAATGGGAGGCCTGCGGGGTGCTGTACTTTTGTACTTTGTATGAGCTCCCTCCCACTGTTACAAGCAGCCTTTAGCAAACCTGGTTTTCATCATCTATGTGACGATGCAGGTGTCATGTGCTTTGAGGACCAAGAACGATGGAGGGTCTGGCTCAGAAGACAGTCATCAAAATCATGATTGACCCTTGTTAGGACGCTCAGTCTCCCCACTGTCCTTCCAGCCAATGAGCTTTACCAATTGCAAATCTCAAGTTCATCACCCTCTGGATACTGTTTGCAATATGTACTATGAATCCCTACTTTTTTCACCTTTGAGACAAGATCTTGCTATGTAGTCTAGGCTGACCTTGAACTTGTGATCCTCCTGCCTTAGCATCTAAAGTGTTGGGATTACAGGTATAGCACCTCCACACCTGGCTCTTAAATTCTTCATTTATTGACAGCTCTCAGGATCATTAATAAAAAAATAACTGTGAGGAGTAGTTGCCGAGGAATCCCCAGAAACAGCCTTTGACGTGAAGCAATATAAACCCGCCTTTTCCTATCTGGGGCAGCATTTTCATGAGGCATAGCCTGGTTACTGCATTTTTAGGGCAAGCACAGCAAAGAGAGGGCCTTTCTGCCTTCAACAGACATAAAGCAGGAGAGTCACACAGTTTAAAAGACAGGGGTGTAGCCGGGCGGTGGTGGCGCACGCCTTTAATCCCAGCACTCGGGAGGCAGAGGCAGGCGGATCTCTGTGAGTTCGAGGCTGGGCTGGACTGATAGCCTCCAAAACAATACAGAGAAACCCTGTCTCGAAAAACCAAAACCAAAACCAAAAAACAAAAAACAAAGACAAAAAAAAAAAAAAAAAAGACAGGGGTGTGCTGTTAAAATTTGGTAAACTTCATACTGTCTAACTGTGGTGAGCCTCAAAAATCCCTGTGCTCTGACTGGACTGGGTTTGAGGCGGGGGCTCTTCCCATGCTCCCTGAGCACTTTTATGCGTATAATCCCCATTGCACACCCACCCTGGCTCCTTCTTCTCCACTGGCCTAATTTGTTCTCCTGCATGAGGCAGGATTAATTATTGCCCTAGTTTGCTGGGTAGGGAGACGGACAAAGCCTTGGAAGACCCTGGCTTCACACCGGGCAGTGAAGTGTGGCTTTACTTTCAGGCCACCAAGCACAAGCCAAGCTTATTTCCCCAGCTGGAACACATGACGCAAGGCACTTGTTTCAACACCAGCTATTCCATTCATGGTGATGCTCCCAACGAAAACTTGATAAAAACCCCTGACGCCTTCAAGTCAATGGAACTGTCGGAATGAAGACGGTATGGTTGAAGATGACAAAAAACACTTTGTGACATGTTTTTTATTTTTTTTAACCATGCAAGAACCTGCCTGTCTCTCGTCATGGGTTAATAATATGCTTGCCAGTTTGGTACACCTTACGAGTTGAAGGCGGAATGTCCCCCACAGGCTCTTGTGTTTGAATCTTGGCCTCCAGATGTTGGCGCTGTTTGGAGGGGACCTGGGCCTAGCTGACGATGGATACAGTCCACCAGGAAGCAGGCGGGCTTACGGATTGCAGCTTGGCCCGGCTTCCAGTCCTCGCCTCATTCCTTATCTTCCAGGATGGGAACAAGCCATAGCACAGGCTCCGGCCATCGCAGACCACTGCTCTCCGGCTGCTGCATCTTCCCTATCATGAGACTGCGAGCCAGAATGAACTTCTCTTCCTTTGGGTTGCTCCCGGTAGGTATTCTGCCCTAGTGATGGCAAAAGTAACTGATACAGTCCAACAGAAGCCGAAAGGGGCTGGGTGGACGGGAGGGAAGGTGACGTGCAGAGCACGTGTGTCACAGAGCAAGAGCACTGGGGACATTTGCTGAGAAGTGGAAGGGAAAGGGATGAGACCTGAGAATTAAGGTCAGGTCACTGCTTTTAACCCCCAGGCTGTGAGTGCTGTAGTCTGGCTGAACATTCCCTAAAGGTCCAAAGGTTAAAAGATTCGTCCCCAAGGTGATGGGACCCGTAGGAGTTGGGAGACGCTGGGCGTTCTTAGGTCACTGGGGGTATAACCTCAAAAGGGGTTCTGGGAACCTGACAGGCTCATGAGGTGAGCTGTTTGCTCTGCCTTGCGCTGTCAGTGTGAGTGGGGCTCCTTGCTGGAGCCCCACAACGAGGGACGACCACCAGGCCTACCTGATTGCCTACCGTGTGCAAGGCCCTGGGTTCAAGTCCAGGTGCCACACAGAATGAGGAGGGAGGAAAGATACAAAGGAAGGGGGACAGGGAAGGAGGGAAGGGTAAAAGGAAGGAGGCGGCTGGGCAGTCAGCAGATCTTGGCTTAGACTGGGGTTTCCAGAACCGAGGCCAAATAAACCCTTTTTCTTTATAAGTCCAACTGCCTCAGATATTTTGTCATAGTGATTGTGAAGCTGAGCAACACAATTAGTCAAATCAGTTTTTAAGGACATTTTCTGGAATAATCCCACTTTTTTTTAAAAATCAACCAGGCATAGTGAAACTTTCAGTTCTCACGGGGATAGGAGACTTAAATATTTTAGGACAGCCTTCTTCAGAGGATTCTGTTAGAAAGAGCACACAGGCACTAAATGTAGGCGGCCTTCCTGCTAGTTCTTTGGGTTGACTTGTAATGATGAACGGGCAAGCTGGGCCAGAAGCAGCCGAAGAGAATCAGTGTGCCTGGAACTATGGAGAGGCCCGGAGTCTGGCTTCTCTGCAGGCAGGTGGCCCTGCTGCGGAGCCTGTGGCTTTGGGCCATCGGGGTTCTATTTGCCCCCCCCACCCCATCTTTCAGAGGAAGATTTGAATCCTCCAAGGAAGGACCTTATAATGTTATTTACTGCTATTCCCTATGCTCTAAATCTGGCTTTAGGCAGCCCGTTTTCGGTATTTGGGAACCGTTAAGACTGGAGCAAGGAACGAAACCCACAGCTAATATGAAATTTTCCCCAGGCCTTGGCATTTAGCTGCTGCCCCAGCAGGCATTTTGAATAAAAAAAAAAAAAAAGGAGTCCATGCAGGCCAGGGCCTTAAAGGCAGTGTGGCTCTGAAAGCCCCTTTGTGCTGTGGAAAGAGACACTGGCCACGCTGCCTGGTGTTCCTATGTAAACGCCACTCCAGGACAGAGTTTTCGCCAGGCAGATGGCTCATTTCTGGGCCGTAACCTCATTTTTCTGATGTTCCCTGTTCTTGTGAAGCTCTGCCCCTGGAGTCAGGTCCTAATTGGTGTCAAACGTTCAGAGACAAAAGCGGGGTGTACGCATCACTCACGGGAAGGCTGTAACTGCTGTGGTGGCTGTGGCTTCGGCAGTGGCTGTGGTATAAAGCTTGTGGCCAGCAGGACAGGCTGCTGCAGGCCTGCTCAGAACTTATTTCTGAATGCCAAACTAAAACGTCTCTCGTTGTCAACACTTCCATTCCCCAGACTCTACCATGCCCCCCCACCTCCCCACCCCCTCCCGGAGACAAGGTTTCTCTGTGTAGCCCTGGCTGTCCTGGGACTCACTCTGTAGACGAGGCTGGCCTCGAACTCAGAGATCTGCCAGCCTTTGCCTCCTGAATGCTGGGATTAAAGGCGTGCGCCCCCCCCCCCCCCGGGCTTCCAACATGTCTTAATGCTGAGGTCCCCTTATCCATATGTTGAGTTCAGTCCGGCTCAGCAAATCTGGATAGGGTTGAGGGTCCATTTATCTCATCACAGATTTGGGGGCCCGCTCAGAAGCTCTGCTGCCACCCAGCAGATAGGTAATCCCACAGCCAGGACTCTGCAGTCAGCGAATGGCCGTCTGATTGGATGCACATTCATCTTCAAATTATGTTGTGTGACAGCCTGGGCTGCAGAACACCATTTTAACATGCAGATTGACTCCTCCGAGGCTCTTCATTATGCATTTAGCGGCCTGTTTTCAGACTAACCAGCATGTCAGAGAGGCCCTATCCTTTTTCCACCTGGGTGGAAGAAATGGCTTGCTGACTGAGGGGGGAGCTGTGGATATTAAAATGCATGTTTATTTTTCTGAGTACCCACATACAACACTCTTCCCCATGCAGGAGGAGAGGAGAAAAGGGGCCAGACAGCTTTGACTCTGAAGCAAGGAAAATGGCTATGCTAACAAGCCAGTCTCCGTGGAAGACGGGCTGACAAGGCCAGCCCAGCCCAGTGCCTCCTGGCTGCCCTGGCTGCCTGCAGGCTGGCTTGGGCGTGTCCACACCAATGTTCTTCTGAGACAGCACAGACTCTCTTCCCTCAGACACACAGCCCAAGTATTTTAAGCAACACACTTCCAATTTCCTGTTTCTAAAATTGTCCCGCATCTCCCTCCAATGGCATTCCATGCAATCCTGGTAAGTCATAGGCAGAGGGCTGAGCCAAGTCCACTCCAAGGACAGTGAGGGTGCCCTGCCTGTTGAGGGGACAGCACATCAGGGCTCTGCGTCACTCCCCCTCTTCTCTTCCTGGTGTGACTTAATTTCACTCTGCAGGGACTGGGTCTCTATGACCTCTCTATGACCTCTAGCTGCTACTGGGGG